GATTGGTCATTGGAAAATACCTGGAAAATCTACTAAAAGAGGTCAGTCATCTACAGAGAGTATGAAGCCCTGCCAACAGTTCTAATATTTGATATCCCAATTGCTGCTTTGACAGCATAATTCTTCATTTTTTCTTAAAGATGCAAAGGAAAGTGTTAAGCCTCTGGAAAGCTAAATTATATATTTCCTGTTTTAAAATCTCCCAAGGGAATCTCCCACATGTAAAGCTGGAAGTTTCAGTTGACTAAAGAAAAAGTACACATCTTTTTTTCTACTTAGTACTACTTAAAAAATAACCTTTAACTATACAACTTCTTTACTGAGAACATGGCAACATGCATATTGCCATCAGTTGTCTAGAAAATGGTAGCATCTAAGCAGTGGTGGGATTCAAATATGTGAACAACTGGTTTTCTGTGTGGATGCCACTTCCGGAAGTCCATTCCAAACCTGGGCAACAAAAAAATAGCTACTGGTTCTGCCGAAGTGGTGCGAACCCCACCACTGCATCTAAGATTTCTGAAAGGAATAAAGTAATTTAAAAGATAGTGAACAGGGGACAACCATTAAGTAATTTTTATAGCAAGGCCTGTTAATCTTCCTTTTAATTATCTATCTTTTATATTTGCAAATGCAGGTCTTTGAAAGTTAATCCTGCTGCTGCTGCATACCTCCTGCTGTTTTGCAGTTCTCTTTTGCAGTTATTTATAAATTTACAAATGAGTTTGTGTTTGGTGCTATTCTTTTAATATCCTTTCAGACATTGTTAAAACATTTATCTAACTCACTTTTGAAGAAAAAAAACCCTATTTCACACTGTGGAAGAGCTACAGGTCTTTTAATCTTCAGTTTAACCACTCACAGTCAAATTATACTTGCGACATTAAATTATTCTGATCTGAAACAATGTTCTGATTCAAATTTTAAAAAGTTTGATTTAGATCCATTATTCCAAGCATCTAAATAAGTCAATTCATCAATTCATTTTTATTGAGGTGTTTTTCAAATGAACAAAAGTAATTTGTTGACGTGATACAGATGTTCCAAAATTTGTTTCAATAATATTTTATCAAATCTCCAACTAAAATTCCCAGTTTAATCTGTGCACCATTATAATAAGTACACATTATGAGTAATAAATACACAGAATGATGAACACAGTTTAATGTTATCTACATTTGATATATTAGATGAACCATCAAAATAATAATCCACCACAAGTGCCATTTCTGGACTCTTCCAAATACAGGTAGTCCTCGAATTACAACAGTTCATTTAGTGACTGTTCAAAGTTACAATGCCACTGAAAAAAGTGACTTATGACCATTTTTCACACTTATGACTTTTGTAGTATCCCCATGGTCAAGTGATTTACATTCAGATGCTTGATAACTGACTCATATTTATGACGATTGTTGTGTCCGAGAGTCATCTGATCCCCTTTTGCGACTTTCTGACAAGCAAAGTCAATGGGAAAACCAGATTCACTTAACAACCCTTACCAATTTAACAACCGGAGCAATTCACTTAACAAATGTGACAAGAAAAGTCATAAAATGGGGCAAAACTCACTTAACAACTTCCTCATTTAACAACATTTTGGACTCCATTGTGGTCCTAAGTTGAGGACTACCTGTAATACCATTTATCATATAATTGTTATATAATTGTTAGGGTTAGGATTAGGATTAGGGTTAGGGTTACCTTATAATTGCATTGTTTGATGTAATGCCTTTGTTTATCTCAGTTATAATAATGCATGGCTTGTATTTACCTCATGATTTTTGCTTTTTTTAGTCAGTTAATAGTGAACATTGCATTGTTTGATGCTGTGGGGTTTTGTTTTGTTTTGTTTTTGCTTATTCTAGTTAGTTAATAGTGGAAATTGTATATTTCCAACAACAACAAAATACAAAATTCCTATAATGAATTTGCCTCTTTCAAAGTCTAAAAAAGCCTATTTCTCCAATCCTGCTTCAGCTATTTATGTCTTCTGCATCAAGTTATCCACATTTTATTATTGTGTGTCAAATGCTGTGAAAAAATGTTACTTGTAAATGTCAGAGAAGTGTCACAAATTGTTATTCCATGTTACTTGTGAGAAATTGTAATAAACAGATTATTGCAACTTAAATGAAAGGAGGGATATAAATGCTTTAACAGAAATAATACATTTGAATTTCCTACATTGCCATCACATATACATGACTGTCAGATACCATAAAAAAATCTATTGATACCATGAAACATTATTCACTATATGTTACTTACTACAAAAAAGAACGGACTTTTTAATCATTTATGGTTGACATGAGATAAGGCGAAGAAATATTGGAGTAAGATTCATATATTAATGCAGAAATTTTTTAAAGTGAACATAAAGATTAAGCCAGAAACTTTCCTTCTGGGTCTAATGGAAAGAGAACTGGAAAAAAAATTGGAACTCTGATTTTATATATGGTGACAGCAGCAAGATTGCTCTATGCACAAAAATGAAAGGATGCCTCGATTCCTACCGTGGATGAATGGTTACAAAAGCTGATGGAATTAGCAGAGATGGCCAAATTGACTGTGCTGATAAAAGTAAAGAACATAAGTACCTTTGTTTCTACTTGGAAACTGCTTCTGGACTTTGTGCTTGAGGTGAAAAAAAATGATATCATGATTTTGGGTTCTACCGATTAGACTGATTTGCTGAAATGGCTAGTGCCTACTACTATAAAAATGTGGAAAGTTGAGATTTGATTTCTATGTCCGATTTTACTGCAACAGAGAAAATTGGAAGTCAATGCCTTTTTGTTTCTTCCCTCCTCTTCTTCACAACTTTTTTGTTTTTCCTTTCTCTACTGTTGTCCCCAACTATTTGCTTTTGCATTTTTACATTTTATGTTATACATGAATAAAACTAATTTAAAAATGTTGTATTTACTACAAAAAAAGAAGTAGCAATAATTGCCAAATGCAAGTATTCCTTGACCTTTGACCAATATTGGGGCCAGAATTTCTTTTGCTAATCAAGGCAAATGTTGAGTGAGCTGCATCCAACTTTACAACAGTTGTTGAGTGAATCACGTCAGTTAAGTAAATCACATGATTGTTAAGCGAATCTGGCTTCCCCCATTGACTTTACTTGTCTGAAGCAAGCAGGGAAAATCACAAATGATGATCACATGATTCCAGTATGCTGCAAACATTGAAAATACACATGACAGTGGGGATGCATGACAAAAAGGTTATAGGTCACTTTTTTTCAGTGCCGTTGTAACTTTGAATGGTTGTTAAACAAATGGTTATACTTGTTCAGCAGTCAGTTTTGGAGGGGAGAAATTACAAAATCTCTGCAAAATATAAATTGCTACATATTACATGCAGCGAAAAATCAACAGCTGGTCAAATATTATCCGTTACTATCACCCCCATCTTCCCAAGATTTTGCAATGTATCTGATAGAAACATTTAGTATACAGAGATTCCATATTACTTATGAAATACATGGCTTGATCTATTTTTTCTGCTCTTTTTTTGAGCTTACTGTATATGTGAATACAAGTTACTTGAGCATTAGTTCCACAACAATATTATCCAATGACCAAAGTCTATGGAAATTTTCAGTCATCCTGGTCATGGTTGTCCAGGAGGTGAAGAAGAAACTTCTTGGATGAGAAGCGAAACATCTTCAAAGAAAAGCAAGGAAGTCCATTTGCCTCTTGAAAAAGCACCTTTGGGACATCCACTGACCATGTTAACATTGAGTTAAAGATATCTAGTGAGCTTCATGGTAAAGTGAGGACTTAAACCAGGGTCTCCCCAAGTACTTTAAATGCTACAATGGATATTTAAAGAGTGAACTGATTTGATTGAATTATTTCTGTATCAAATTTGGAAACCACCCATCTCACTCACAGATTACTTTTAAACTGGTACCATCTGCAAATGATTTTCTGGAATTAATACCCGTCATCATAGTTTTATTCTCCTTTGAAAACTCGATTAGGCAATTATGCTCACATCCTTAGACTTGTTCTAACAGTGCTACATAAATAGAACAAAACAAAGCAGCCTGTTACTTTCTGATAACATTGTCGTTTATTTATCTACTTTTGAAAAGGAGCAACATTTGGGAAAAACACTATTATTGTGCCGTAAAATAATAAAGCATAAATAAAAATAACCAGACAAATAATATTTTTAAAAAGAAAGAAATGAGATGCCATACTTTATCAAAACAGTGCTGAAATCTTTATTCATGGGATAAATGTGAGCAAATCAACAGTGGCAAATGTTAGATTTAGTATAATAAATGTTCTGATATAAATCACAGCTCTTCACTGAGTTGGTGTTGACATAGAGAATGTGTCGTGATTTATAGTTTGTTAGTTTTAGAGAACTGTGACTGAAATATCACAGCTTTTGCTTTAAACCTAGAAGACCACAGAGAAGATATTTTCACATGATTTTACACTGAACGCACAGCCGTAAGGAAATAATTCTATAAACACAACTTACAAAGCATGTAGCCTTTTTAGGTTAAGTCAAGATCTTTGAAAAAGTAGAACATTTAATAAAATACAAGAATTGTCAACTTCAGATTTTAAATTTACAATGAGGTACAGTTTGGAAAGAGGGGAAAGAAAAGGCCATATAGTCTGGAGAGTATAGAAGTACAATCCTATATATCTGGAGGCACCAGAGTAGGAAAGGCTAATATAACATGCTATGCAGTTGCCCTATTTTTTTTTAAAGATATGCAATACATATGATGGTATGTATTGGTGATGTTTTGGCGCAGTGGTTAGAATGCAGTACTGCAGTCTACTTCTGCTGACTGCCAGCTACCAGCAGTTTGGCAGTTCGAATCTCACCTGCTCAAGGTTGACTCGGCTTTCCATCCTTCCGAGGTCAGTAAACTGAGGACCCAGATTGTTGGGGGCAATAGGCTGACTCTGTAAACCACTTAGAGAGGGCAGTAAAGCACTGTGAAGTGGTATATAAGTCTAAGTGCTATTGCTATGAACATTGATTTCTTAGATACACAGACCCCACAATGCTGACTGGTGTAGAAGCCTACTTATACAGCTATTTATGGGAAAGCTTGCCTCCTGCACACAATGCTGATGAGCAGCATCATTGGAACATACAACTTCTCCAGGCTGCTCTGGGTAGAAAATGACTGAAAAGTATCTAAATATTTGAGTTGCAAAATACGCAGATATGCTATTTCAAGGTGCATTAGAACAAGTAGCTTCCTTCATTTTTCATCTGCATAAATAAGGTTAATGAATTAGCCACAAATTCTTTTGGACAGAGAAAACAATGCACAGATTCCTCTGGATGGAGCAAATAGTAACGTCCTTTTTTGAATAGTCACTGCACAAGAAAGAATCTTGAAAGATGCTGTAGAGATTAAAAGCAGAGAACAGCTATGTAGTTTAATAGGGGACTGTCACTAAACTGGTTCTTTTTCACAAGATAGAGCAGCAGCATTTGGCAGGGTAGTCTTCACAGTAGACTTTATTCTCATTGCCAAAGACACAGAAGGAGTATGATTTGTCCTTCCATTCATATTTAACTTTTGTGAGTGGAACCAGCTCAACCGTTTGTCTCTGCAAAAAGAAAGAGAAAAAAAGTTATATTTCTGAGATCATTTATATCCGCTTCGAATGTGAACTCTACAATTTAGGTACTAGACACAAAATTGGCAATTAAGGCGGTCTAAGTTGGATACGCAAAAGGAGCTTAAAAGATACGGACTTCCTTTCCAAGCGCTTACACTTTTTCCATTCCGTACAGGCATTAAGGCGAGTCTCTTCAATGTTCCTCTTAAAAGAAAATCAAAAGAGTTTATGTTTGCAGACCATTTTTGTCAAAATAATTAATATGTGACACCTGTTTGTAACTCACCTTGTTTTCTTTGGAACATCACCTTGAGAGGACATTGCTTAATTAGAATACTTTGAAATAAAAAAGCAGTAAAGTATTAGCCCCGTTTATGAGTGCTGTGCTCCACATATTTCCTTTTCCTTAGGAAATATTGTACAATTGGAATCTGCTGTTCAGGGTAATGTATAGGTCCTCTTATTCCCTTAGCATTCTATATTTTCAAACTATCTGGAGGAAGGGGAGAAAGGGAACTAATGATTTCCAAGCTCTGTGTTAATCCCAGCACCATTTTTATGCCTTCCCATCATCCTAAGACCCAGATCTACTGAAAATTTAATTCAAAATTGGGGATGGGAGTGTGTGATGTAATGTTGTCCAGAGGAAGGGAGTGTATTCCAGAGGAGCAAAAGACAACACAGTTTAGATAGCTTGTGTGAGAAAAAGAGGGTGAAGGTGACTCCTCCCTATTAGTTCCCAGGATATATGTTTTATGGTACAAGTAGTCTGCTTTAGTCTGGCAAGATAGGTGAGGAATAATAAATAAATCTGTTTAGCAGAATCACAATGTGACTTTCTTTGTTTTGGGAACCTGACAGAAGGGGAAGAGGAGGCCAATCGTCATAAACAAGCCATTTGTAGCCCATTTTTAATTTTTATTTTTTTTTAAGATGGAAAATAGAATGGAAAGGCTCAAGCTGCTCCTCAGGGGTTCTTCAAAAAGTATCTCTGCGATGCCCTTTCCTGCCTTGACCCTCCACTTCTCTTCATCTGGAAGCTTGGTGCCAGGTTTTCAATAGTTATGCTTTTAATACATATATGCATTATTTTGTTTTATTATTGATATTGTTTTGACTGTTGATTGGAAATCACCCAGAGTTTTATATAAGATGGGCAGTTATATAAATGTTTTAAATAAATAATGCAGGCTGAATGAAAAACTGCTGGTGACCGTCTACCATTGCTCCATAGAGAGCATTCTAACCTATTGCATTTGTGTGTTATTTGCCAACCGCACAGTAGCAGATAGGAAACCGCTCCAGAGGATCATTACCCCATTGCCCAGAGGATTATTGAGTGCCCTCTCCTCCCTCCCTCCCCCCGGATGAACTGTACAGTTCCCGCTGTCTTAGGAAAGCTCAAAACATTCTTAAAGATTCATCTCATCCCGGACATTCTTTTTTTGAACTATTACCATCTGGATAATAAAAACAAAGACAAATAGGTGAAAAATAGTTTTTATTCCAGAGCTGTAACCATATTAAATACTATTGTATAGTGCAACATTGAAGTGCAATATTAGGGGCAGTGCAATGGTGAATAGAATGTGAAGGAAGTGTATATACCTGTATAATGTATGTTCTTATTTGTGGTTTTTACTTGTGTATAGTGTGCACTGTGGACAGCACATAATTTCGTTGTGAGTTACACAATGACAATAAAGATATTCTATTCTATTCTATTCTATTCTATTCCCATATTACAAGGTGGCCTTTTATAGACCTGTGGAAAGAAAGGAGATAGAAATATAAACCCTAATTCCTAGATGGAGAAACCTGAGGAATATTTCTACAACCTCAATTTTACTTCTATGTTATGGAAATCAGTTACATCAGTTCCCTGACCAGGCAGCTCTTTCACTATTCATGGATGCAAGTATAAATTTAGAAGCATTGTCAGTTTGTAATCTCTGCAACATACATCACTTGAAGTATATCTCAGAAAAACAGGCTGGTGGAAAACTCTAGTTTCTTTTGTCTTTTTAATTCTCATTGGTCCCCTCCTTTCCTTTCTGCTCGTTGTTTAATAACGGCAAAAATAAAAAAGAATAACAGATTTCTGTTCCATACATGATTCACCAGCATGTAACTTCACCCAAAAAAAATTGGAACAAGTGTGTCTATTTTATTTATTTATTTATTTATTTATTTATTGGAAATGTGTTTATATCAAATGTCTCTACAATATAAAAACAATTGAGAAATTAATGTGATATTATTTATAAAAAAGAACAGCATGCCTTATTTTAGTCCTTTAACAATCTTCAGATCAAGCCACTAGAATTTGTAAACTCAAATTCAAAGAACATTTGAAAATTTACATTTTGGGATATTTTCAGGAGAACAACTTTCACAACAATGCAGGCTAACTTATGGGTTGTGACTTTTAGGTGTATTTTAAAATAAAAATCAATGGTGCACTGATGATGTTACCTAATTTGGGTAATCAAGCATCTGCTAGAAAACAACCAAGCTCAGAGAGCACCAAGGACCCCTCATATCAATTCTGAGCTACAAATATTCTCTTTTATTGGAGAAATAATTAGCACTATTAAAAGTGTGTTCTTCACACTTCAGGGAAAAGAGCTAAACATTATTTCTGTGTTACAGTATCTAAGACTGTGCTATGAGGAAAAGCTGGAGTCTCCCAATTCCCCATCAAAGTCTTATGGAAATTAATTTCCATTTTAGTTTTTTTTAAGAGGAAGCCTTTTGTCTCAAAAGTGAGTTTAATTCTTAAGCATCATGCTGTCTTAGACTAAAAGACTGGTGGTGATGCATTATTGATTTTTATTTGTATTGATTTATTTATTGGTGCACAATAAAACCTTTTTGTAAAGGATTAAGGTTAGAGTTACCAGAATTTAGATGCAATGGACAAAATTTGCATCCAGACATCCCTGAAATAAAGACTAAATTAATTGTATATGAAGTATTGCATTATTCCCATCATTGTATATGAAGTATATGTATTATTCCCATCATTATATATCCCATTAATTGTATATGAAGTATTTGCATTATTCCCATCATTTTCCATTATATGTGTCTTATATTAAGTAAATAAATGCTGTTATTTATGTAACTTGTGTTATTGCATAAGTACAGTTCATAATTATGCAATTAAACTGACATAAATGGATGCAGATAATATAAAGTTAAAAACACTTTATTTCTTAATGGTGCATTAAAGTAAGGTTTTACTTTATTATTATTTTGCAGCAGTTAAAAACTGAAAGGGATGAGAAAATTGCACTTTGGTAAATGCAAAAATAATAATTTGATTGCAAAATATCCTGCAAAAGGAAGAATAATCAAACTGAGAATAATCTAAGATAAATTCTTAGATAAATCTAAGTTAAATTCTTCATCAATTTGAAATATTCCTCACACAAACATTTTCAAAACTTTTTTGGGGGAAAACAGCTGTTTAGTAAGTCAAAAAGTTTTTTAAAATAAATTGAACATGAAAATAATAAATGAAAATGAAAATAATTTCATTTTTAAAATGCAGTTGTTCTCTTTGGCACTCACTTGTTTCAAGATCCGATGCTCATCTGAAGCAAACATCATTTTGTGTTGAACAATGCTTGTCCTTGAATAGTCTTTAATGGATGATTCTAGGAAATCAATCATGGGACGTACCTGGATGCAGATAAAGGCCACAAAATACTCTTTTGCATGTACAGCATGACTGCATAGAACTGTCAACTTTCTCTCAGTAAATGCTTGGAATTGTATACCAAAAAGCATACATTCATCATTAGAAATTTAAGAAAATGTAGCTGTGGTTATCTTATCTTTTTGCACAGAGGAATGAGTAGTCTAAATCAGTGTTTGTTAATCTTGGCAACTTTAGGTATGCTGGCTGGGGAATTCTGGCTGTTGAAATCCACACATCTTAAATCTGTCATGGTTGAAAAAGACTGGTCTAAATTATTGCATGCAAAGTTAAACTGTGCTTTTGGCCAGAAGCATGCCAAAGTTTCCAGATTTAATCTCCAACATCTTTCAATTGGACTAGAAAAAAATCCTGTCTGTAACACTGGAGTCTACTCCAGACAGAGTTGGGAATGCTGAGCTAGATGACTTGTTATTATACATATGTATGGAAAAACCCTATAATGAACTAGAGAGATCTCTTTTGGGGTACTTTAACTGAACAAAGGATTGAACTGAACTGAACAAAGGATTGAATGACCAATAAGAGCGCTCTAGCACTCTGTTCTAGCATTCTAAAACAGTCTACATTCTATCTATCAGGTCCACCATCACAGGCTTGGTGCCTTGCTGGTGCCCTGCCATTAGGGCAGGAAGGGAGAAGGAGGACAGGGGTTTATTGGGCACTATTGTTATAACATGAGAAATAGGGAGGGTGGAGTGGCAACGGAAGAAGACCAGATCACCAAACTGGCTTGTACCACAATCTTCAAGGCCGTTTCCCTGAGAATGGAATGTTAACAGTTTGACACCTCAGAGTTTCTCAAAACATCTTACCGGTATTATATTGGCTGGCCAGGGAACTGGTCATGGGGGGGAGGGAGTGAAAAGTGAAAAGAATAGGTTTTTTGCACAGGAATATCAGATTCTGCCTGACTTTAGTGTAACCAGTTTCTTTCAGTAAAAATTCCTTTGCTTCAATTAAATGGAGTCACAAGTCTTACTTTCCTGAGAGAGTAGACTGGGGCAGGTCTGACACTATCTTCCAGTATTCTTTTATAAATACAGCTAATCTTCATTTAGCAACTGCCCTATTTAGTGAGCACACCTGGAGAAACTCTTTGCAGTTATGACAGTGATGAAAAAAAATCACTTTACAACCACATTCTTCACATTATAGTGATGAAAAAATAATTTTATAACCAATTCTTACATTTATGATTTTTGCAGGTCTGTAAAGCAAAAGAAAGCTGAAATAAGATCATAAGCACCATAGCAGTTTTTTCATAACAATCACTTTGTTATGCCTGTCTCAACTGTGGTTGCTAAATAAGGACTACCTCTATATTCTTCCAGTAATCATTGCATACATATTTGTGGCAGTATATATCTTACCAAGTTATGCTCATCACTGAGTATTTTTCTTCCAGTTACTTCCTGCAGATGGTAAACTGGAAGTTCAGATTTTTCATCTGCTATGTGTTCTAAAATATTGTTCTTCCTATGAGGGGAAAAAAGTTATATTTATTTATAAAGATGTCAGTTTAAAGGTGAAACTGACTGAGTACATGTTAATAAGCTCTAGAAGATAAGATACAACTTTAATCTCATTTATATCTTCCAAAAATATCTCTAGATTTTACAGAGACATGTTGCAGATAAATGAAGTGCACTCTTGGGCTGTAATCCCCTAATTCAATTACTAGCAGTAAACCTCAATTAATTTAAAATTAGAGTAAGGGGATTATTTCTGAGTAAATAATGTTTAGTAAACAAATATTCAGCTTGCATTTTGAATCCATTCCACAACGCATTTGGTTAACTGCCTGAATATATTTTGTTCTGGAAGGAATTTTTCTTCCAATGATTTAAAGTCAGATAAACAAAGAAAAGATGGTATTCCAAATTCAACTGGGGTATATTTAAGGAAGGATGCAAAAATATCAGAGCATATGAAATTAAGCTATAAAGTCTAACTTAGACCTCAAAGGTCTTTTACTCCAATCTCTGCTCAAGGCAGGAGACCTTATATCATCCCAGTCACATGGCTGTCCAGTCTGCTTTTGAAAACCTCCAGTGATGGAGCACTCACAATTCCTGCAGACAAACTATTCCTCTGATTAATTGTTCAGAAAATGTCTCCTTACTTCTAGGTTTGATCTCTCATTAACAAGCTTACTTGTTACTTCTTGTCTGCCCTCAGTTGCTTTGGAAAATAAGTAAGGCCCCTCTTCTCTGTGACAGCCCCTTAGTTATTGGAAGACACTTATCATGCCCCTCCCTTGTAGCCCAGAGATCAGAAGCCTGTTATTGTTATCCTTAACAATGTTCAAAGAAATATAACTTAGATGAAGGGAAAAGTATATTTGTAAGAGTTTATGAGATAGTTTTGCTTTTCCACTCTGGCAAAATATGTGTAATCCAAAATCTTATGCACCCAAGTATCCATGATGGTGGTGGTCATATTGGGGAATGTATTACTGGGACAAAAAAAAGACCTATGGCCCTTACAGGCATTCTTACAGATACTTTTTCCTCCAGATGAACAAAGAGACTTACAGTACAACATTCATTTCTTTGCTTTATATCTTACCACGTGATTGAAAGTTCAGTATGATATAGCAATATTCCTTTGCAATCGCAACGGTAACACATGTGCCGCCCATTGCCATGGCAACTGGAGCAACTGTGAAAGAGAGATCAATGTTCAAATTAGACTCTATGACAGTGATGGCGAATCTATGGCACGGGTGCCAGAGGCGGCACTTGGAGCCCTCTCTGTGGGCACACGTGCCATTGCCCCAGCCTTGCCTTCCCCCATGACCCCCTCTTCTCCAGCAGCTCCCCTGAAGGAGAGTCACCCTCGAGCATGGCCCACATGGAGCAGCACAGCCAAGGACATGGCAGCCAGGCAGCGTAGACAAGACTCTGCCCTCACACCCCATCATGCAGTTGATGCTGCAGGGCGCTGGCAGAGGGTGTGGCCACCATAGCGCTGCTGGGATGCCTGGAGGCGGTGAGTGGTCCTGTAGGCAGGCAGGGCGGGGGATGGGGGGCAGAGCAGGGGCAGGGCAGGGGGGTGGAGTGGGGGCGGGGCCAGTTTTTGGGCACTTAGTCTCTAAAAGGTTCGCCATCACTGCTCTATGATATTGTAAGTTTTCCTCTCTTGCAAACAGTAAATTAAATATCATCATCAACATCATCACCATAATATTATTTCACTCATACAGTAGTCTAGAATATATGCAATATATATGCCAGTGGTTCTCAACCTTTTTAATGCCGCGACCCCAACCGGTCGTAAATCGAGGACTAAACCGGTCGTAAGTCGAGGACTACCCAACCGGTTGTAAGTCGAGGACTTTCCCTGCCTGGGAGCGCCGCACATGCGTGGTTCCGCCCCCTGCGCCGGCTGAGGCGTAGCTGGCAAACGGCAGAGACGGAGCAGGCCGACCACCAGCTGGCCCAGCCCAAGGGAGGTAAGGCACCCGCCGGAAAAAGGAAAAAAAATGGCGGACAAAAAAAATGGCGGAAAGGCTTGCTTGGCGACCCCTGTGAAATGGTCAATCGACCCCAAATGGGGTCCCGACCCACAGGTTGAGAACCACTGATATATGCAATATATGTAATATAAAATATAAAGTGTGGTAAATACTGATATAGAAGATAACTTAAAAATACTGCAAAACTTAAGAAATAACTAAAGATTAGCATTACTAATAAAACTATGAACATTATACCTTTTTGTTGTCAATATAAAGACTCACCTTATTTTCTATTAGAAAGAAAAACAAAATCTCTAATCAGGACTTATGGGTTGTAAATGAGATTTAATTCAGTTATTTAAATTCTTGTAACCCTATTACTTTCTTTTCAATCATCTTATCAAAAAGAATTATTTAATAATTATGCTAAGAAAGATCCACTTTCTATTTTAGATAGCTACCAAAGAGCCTGATAAATAGGGCACACATACTGGGTTCATACAATGGCCAATCCTGTTTGTAAAATTCTGTGTTATCTATACTTCTGGATCAGAAACAAATATTTCCTGCTAAATTTAAGGCTTTTTCCATCTGTGGCATTTAAATGAGTCTTTTTTAAAAAATGGCCTACAGATGGTTTGATTTCAAATGCTGCTGTCTACTTTCTCATGCAGCTGCCATATTGGTTCAGCAAATTCCCTGGGTGAAAGTTAGCTGTCCTGTGAATCATTTTCACTAGGACACGATACAGTCATTCCATTTTCCCAGACCGAAGTGATAGCCTTCCTTACTTGTAACAGCAGCAAAGGTGCAAAGGCCGTATGATCTGCTTGTGACAGATAAGGGCCTATCCTAGGAAAGAGGCAATGACAAGCCACTTCTCAAAAACCATGCCGAAAACCATGAAGGGATTTTCCCAGGCAGTGTCTGCGAATCAAATGTTATTGAACATGAAATCAGTCCACTGATTTCGCTGTAGGGATATTACTGCAAGTGATCTATTTTCATGGAAAAAATGAATGAGGAAAAATCCTGAATATTAGATAATGTAGATCATATATATCTATGTTTCATCATCATCATTTTAGCCATTGTCTATTCACTGCAGGATGAAGGCCTCTTCCGCATGTTTCCAACCAATAACGGTCCTGAGCTTTCTTTTGCCAATTGGGTCCGCAATACTTGCTGAAGTCATCGAACCCTCTTGTTTTAGGTCTCTTTCATGGATGCTTTTTATCAAATGGGATCCATTCTATGACTGCCTTGGTCCACCTGCCATCAGTTCTTCTTGCTAGGTGACCAGCCCATTTCCATTTACTCTCTTGATGATATTGTATACTTTCGTTTCTTCTCTATACAGTACATCCATATATCTCTATCTCTCTATCTTTTTACCTCTACCTCTACCTATATCTAGATCTATCAAGATCGAGATCTATCAAGATCTAGATCTATCAAGATCTAGATCTACACACACACACACACACACACACACAAATTTAACTTTTCTGAAAGACCTAGATGAGGTATGACAACCCAATAAAAGGTTATAGTAAAAACTATTATAAGAATAAAAATGAAGTTTGGATTGAAGCAAAACTTACCGCTTGTTTCCTGAACCCGAACACCATGAGCAGGAAATGAATTCATCTGAATTGAACCCACTCCCATTACAAGCTGAACACTTTTTCTATATTTGAAAAAATGCAGAACAATTTAAATGTATTTATTGAAGAAGAAGAAGAAGAAGAAGAAGAAGAAGAAGAAGAAGAAGAAGAAGAAGAAGAAGAAGAAGAAGAAGAAGAACAACAACAACAACAACAACAACAACAACAACAACAACAACAACAACAACAAGCAGCTAAATCCCATGTTATTTTTGGTGGTTTACAATAAAAGCCATCAAACCTGAGTTAAGACCAGTGACATTCAAACCAGCATCAAAAATAACCCAAAGAAAACATGTTTTGAAATGAGTATGTTAGGGGGGCTTTCAGAAAGGTAGCCAAGAAGCCAACTCCTCAGTTCAACAGGGAGCAATGCTCTGCTTTGAGAAATAAGCTGGTTTTCAAATGGCTTATAGTACATCCTTTATTATAAAGGACAGTCCCTTATTTCAGGAAGTTGTCCTTTAGATTTATTTTTCAGAAAGTCTCTTTGTTCTTTATTTTGGGTTATTTAACACAGGGGTCCCCAACCCCCGGTCTTTGGACCGGTTCTGGGCCGCAACATGCCAGCAACCAGTCTGCACAAACAAGCAAAGCTCCATCCGCAGGATGCTGGCAGAACACAAAACCATGCACCCTCCAGCCCACAGAAAAACCTCTATCCACGGAACTGGTCCCTGGTACCCAAAAGGTTGGGGACCTCTGATTTAACATTTACCATACAAATAGTGCAATTAGGGCAGTCTTTCAAATTTATGCGAAAAATATGAAAGTTGTATTGTCTTTTTACAATAAATTTACACATTCTGTTTGATCGTAGACATTTTTATTAGAATATATGTTTCCCTAAAGTTTTTCTTGATTTTGCTCTTGAATTGTCCATTGTAAACCAAAAATAGCCACAAACAATTAAGTGGTTTTTTTTTTTTTTTATTCTTAGCCACTTCTTTCAGATTTGCCCATATTTCAGATTAATCCTTTATTTTTTTCCCAAGAAAATGCTGTGAGGTCACTGTCGGTCTGGTTTCGTTACACGATCACCTTTAAAATCCTTCATGATTTGCATTTGATCTGAAGCTAATAGCCAAATTTGCAAATTAACTAAAAGTTTTTATTTCCTATGAGTCCAAAACACATACTGCAGTTTTCTCCTCCCTTTCGTGAATGAAAGACCAGGTCTCTTATAGCTGCATTTTGAAATTGAAATACAGCCATCCAAACTGGGTCAAATTGCCTAGTTTACAGGTAGTCTTTGACTTACAATCATGTGTTTAGTGACCATTCGAAGTTACAACAGCACTGAAAAATGTAACATGACTGGCATGTGTTTTTGACATTTGTAGCATCCCGGGGTCATTGTGATCCCTTTTGTGACCTTCTGACAAGCAAAGTCAATGGGGAAGCCAGATTCACTTAACAGCTGTGTTACTAGCTTAACAACTGCAGTGATTCACTTAACAACTGTGGCAAGGAACATCATAAAATGGGGCAAAACTCACTTAACAACTGTCTCACTTAGCAGTGGAAATATTGGGCACAATTATGAGTGTATTCAGATGAATTGAACCCACTCCCATTACAAAATGGACACTTTTTCTATATTCTATAAATGCAGAACAATTTAAATGTATGGCTAAGTTCCATGTTATTTTGGGTGGTTTACAATAAAAGCCATCAAACTTTTATTTGTATCATCTATTTTCCCAGATTTGGGGTGGTCTTTCTCATGCAGTTCTTCTTCTCCTAATTTCTGCACAGAAGGAAGCACTGACATCTGATAGGAATATTGTAATGTTTCTTGTACTGACTTACTGTGCCCTTCCCTTGACATGATTGGCATGTAATTGCACCACGGCCATTGCAGTTTCGACAATTCTGAAAGTAAAGCAAAGGACACATAAGCAAACCATTAGAAAGACTCTGTTGACAGGCTAGCCCTACTTCACTGGAGAATTAATTTTATTATTTTTTTCTTAAAATAACAGTAGTCCTCAGCAAAAGGATAATAGATTCCTGCCCATAATTATTTTTCTTTGACCTTC